CACCGCCTTGGTGGTGTCCAGGATAGCTCTTCCAGCTAGCTAGGATGAAGCTCCATGTTGTGGAGATCATCGCTACGTCGTGAAGCAACGAACACATGCTTGTCTGGTGAGCATGACTGGGAAGAAAATTGGGGCAACTTTGTTGCTGTGTTGGCGGCTTGTGAGCCTTTGTGCTGGGAAGTTAAAGGGAGATCCTTCCCCCGATGCCATGGGTCTGCACAAGTCCTACCTTGGATCTACCAGTCTAACAAACTTCTTGTACTCCTCTCGAGTACAATTGCATGTTCTACAACCTTCAGTTAGTTGAGTAACATTCTTCATCTTCATCATGGTCGGATCCTGGACTACCGCGGCGGCTGTTGGCCTGCTTGCCCTCACAAACGCGTCTCCACTACAAAAACGCGCACCCATGTTCGACTACAACAACCAAAAGGTTCGCGGTGTCAACACTGGCGGATGGTTCGTCCTCGAGCCCTGGATTACTCCTAGCATGTTCGAGGGCAACAGCGCAAAGGACGAGTACACACTCGTAGCAGCTATTGGCAAGGACCAGGCACAGTCAAAACTGCAAAACCACTGGAACTCTTGGATCACCCAAGACGACTTCAACCAGATGGCAGCTGCTGGTCTCAACCACGTTCGAATCCCAATCGGTTACTGGAGTGTTCTTCCACGTGAAGGCGACCCATACCTACAAGGCGCTTACGAGAAGCTCGGAGAGGCGCTCGACTGGGCGTCTGGTGCTGGCCTCAAAGTCATGATCGATCTCCACGGCGCACCCGAATCCCAAAACGGTTTCGATAACTCTGGCAAGTACGGCTCTGTCGGCTGGACTCAGGGCGACTCAGTGGCCCACACCATCAAAGTCCTCAACAAGATCCGCGATGATCACGCGTCGCATCCCGCCGTCTCAGCTATCGAGCTTCTCAACGAGCCTCTGGGTCCCAACCTTGACATGAACACCGTCAGGCAGTTCTATATGGACGGCTGGGGTAACCTCAAGGACTCCAACGTCGCAATCACCTTCCACGATGCATTCCAGGGTGTAACCTCGTGGGGCAACTGGGGCGCGGGAATGTGGAACCTTCTTCTCGACACTCACCACTACGAGATCTTTGACCCCTCTGCTGTCGCCATGAGCATCGACGACCACGTCAAGACAGCTTGCGATTTCGGTAACCAGATGGCATCTACTGGAAAGTGGACTGTAGCTGGCGAGTGGACTGGTGGAATTACCGATTGCGCCAAGTGGTTGAACGGAAAGGACAAGGGCGCGCGCTACGACGGTACCTTTGGCGGCAGTTCAAAGGTCGGTGACTGCACTGGCAAGTATACTGGCAGTGTTGCGAACCTGTCAAGCGCCGACAAGTACAACATTGGACGCTTCATCGAGGCGCAGTTGGATGCCTACGAGAAGGCCACAGGCTGGATCTTCTGGACATGGAAGACCGAGGGCGCACCTGAATGGGATATGCAAGATTTGCTGGCCAACGGTATCTTCCCCCAGCCGCTAACGGCACGAAAGTGTAAGTATTCCTTGTGGTGTTGCATGAGCATGAAGCTGACAACCTCTAGACCCCGGCCAGTGTGGCTAAGTACCTCGCTGTTCATGCCACGTCTACTTGGCGCCTTCCTACTCTTTCTTCTTCCACCACACACTCGCTCCGTCTCGACACCCATACTATACACCCGGCCAGTAACGATGTAACGAATTTCATACCGCTTCGAAGATACCCCGACGCGTTCGCTCGCTAAACGGGACCCCCGTCATAGGGCTGTCCCTACTTGTATTGTCTGACACGACATATAGCTGTCACTGAGTCACACTACCCGCTCGCACCGTAGCTTGAGCTGCAAAGTATGAAGTCATGGTCGAGGCAGGGGCGCAGCCGGCGCAAACGTATATATGAGACGAGAAACAAACTGTATATTCAACAATGCAATAAAGTAATTGAAACAAACGCAAATTATCGTGATACACGTGAGCCGTGAAGAAGATTAGTTTTGCTGGGTGCTGCTGGGGTTGAGGCGGTAATTTTGCGGGCAGGCGGCCTTGTTCGCGCCTGCCGCGCCGGTCAAACTCCAATCTCACCTGCCTGGTCAAGTCTGGGAAAGGAAAATTGCGTGATGACGGCCGTAGTGCAGCCTCGCTTAGAGCAAGACTGACGATGCATCGTCAACAGGTGCGACAAGTGGCCAAACTCTCCTTTCCATAGCATGGTTGAGCAATTGGCGGCGCGCGCCAGTACCTGAAGCTAGAGCGCATGCGACTCAGACACAAGCAAGCAGATCGCGTTCCACGGGCTACGTGAATCCGGAGAACCCTCGCTCGCGCATCGCGACACACGAGTCGTACAATTCGTCGCAGACGTCCAAATCAGAAATGAGATGCGACTGCTATCTCGTCGGCGCAGCGCTGTCGGCCCTTCGTCCCTGCGCCTATGTAAGCGCCGATATTGCTCACCTTTCGACGGCTGACAGGAACAACGCTCCTGACTCCTCAGGCATCCACTGCCCGCCAGAAGCAATCTCCAACAACCCAGAAATAGCCCGTGCCATGGTCCCACAAGCTCACCGGTAAAGCCACCAAAGACTCCTGAGCACGCCGCAACTCACAAGAATACGAGGTGTCTAAATCTCTTGTCGCCTTGTCATTCGTCACGTTCCTCCAAGCGCTGTCCATTCGGCCTAGCGCTAGTTCCAAGGGATATTGCACGGGACTGGAACACCAATCTTAAGTTGCGCCGGCAACAGGGGTACCTGCATTGACCGTTTGTAGAACGCGAAACCGATATAGTTCGAGTGCCTCCCCTCAGCTTGTCTTGTTTCTTCCTACTGCTCACCTCGCCTAAGATATCTTGCAGCCCTCAGAAGACTTTTGTTCTTCAGCCCTTCTTTTAAGAAAACCAGTCACTCATTACTTGCCGTCTTCCAACTACATAATACTCTCGATCTTCTTCGGATAATCACCTAATACCACACACACCAACCTTCAAAATGTACTCCAAGACCGCCATCATCACCTTCTTCGCCGGCTTTGCCGCTGCCCAGATCCACGCTCCCGTCGGCGAGCCCGCTGGTAACCCCATCACTCGTCCTTTGAACGAGGTATGTTTGCATCATCACTGAGTTTGCGCGCGCGCGCATCGCGAAACTCGAAACAAGATCCGCAGAGCTAACGCGCCCCACCAGGTCGTCCCCACCTGCGAGCAGTTCACCATCACCTGGCAGCCAACTACCCCCAACACTGTCTCTGTTCTCCTCCTCAAGGGACCCTCCACCAACGTCGTCAAGTTCGGTCCTTCCCTCGCTGAGGGAATCGCCAACAGCGGTAGCCTCGCCTGGACCCCTGCCTCCACCCTCGAGGCCACCAACGGCCCCAACGGATACGGCATCCAGATCATTGACGATGTCACCGGCCAGTACCAGTACTCCACCCAGTTCGGCATCTCCAAGGGCAACTGCGAGGAGGCCGTCTCCAGCTCCATGATCGAGCCCAGCAGCGTCGCTATCGCTAGCTCCACCCCTGCCGCCAGCAGCGCCTACGCTCCCGGCTACGGTGCCTCCACCCCCCTTGCTAGCCACACCCCTATCCCTCTCCCATCTGCTGTCCACTCCAGCGAGGCTCCTTACCCCACCACCGTCATGACCTCTGCTATGGTCCCTGCCTACAGCACTGGTGTCTCTGCCAACGGCACCGTCCCCATGCCCACTGCTGGCGGTAACGCTACCACCAGCCGTCTTCCTGAGGCCACCACCAACGCCGCCTCTGGCGTCCAGGCTGCGCTCGGCTTTGCCGGTGCCGCCGCCGCTTTCGCTTTCATGCTATAAGCGCATTTTCCCGGTCTCCCCTGGATTATGTTACTATGTCATGACTAGCTTTGCGTTTCCTTCCCTTCGATGATACTCCTGGTGTTTATTCATAGGGTATACCACCGTCTTGTTTGGTTCGAATTTTGTGTGTCGTGGTCGGCGGTTGTATTTAAAGTGGAATGAGAGAGTGTTGCATAGATGATGGCGCTGTCTTGTGCTATACCCAAAAGGTCTTGATTGTGATGCGTAATGGAACCCATTATACCCCTTAGCCTTTGACATTCTTCTATGGTGAAGCTGTGACGCCCGCTGTCTATATCAATCATTGACTATGACATAACGGCCCTTCGAGTAAGACCATGCGTCTTTCATAGCATTCTGTTCTTCATATCGAAACAGTCATCAACACTCGGACAAATCAATATATCTCGCATACTGGAACTGGCAGGAGAACATAGATGGGTTACATTGAAAGCGAGATCCACGAGCGGAGTAATGTTCCGGCGCTGATGACACTCTAGATTGCAGTTCGACGTTCTCGACTGATTGACAGTTCTCTCCTTAATTTGTCTATGTGTCAAAGCCGCCTGCACCGCTTCCTAAGATGGTCGCGTATGTACCATGGGCACATCGTGCCCTGCGGGAACCGCATTGGGACTTCACCCGTGCTCTAGATTGGCTGCACGAGCGGGATAGCGGGAGGCCCCATTATACGCAAAGACAAAGAGTACTTGGTGTACGACCATGAGATCTACCGTCTTCATTGCTGGAGTACAAGAATACATCCTCGAGACATCTATACAAACACATAGTAGTAGTGCTATGAGCCTCAGCCTCCCTCGCGTCGCTTCCGGCTTGCGCGATTACTAGAGCTGCAATGCAGGTACGCGGCGTGGTCCGCAATTGACTGGTCGCCTTACGCCCTCCTGAGAACCTAAGTTGGGGACCAATTGACTCGTAAGCTTATGCTCGACAAGCAACGCGCCTTGCCATGTATGGGAGACGGACTATGAGATGCACGATGTTGTGGAGCGAGATTGAGCCAGCGCAAAGACCGTGTCAACATTGGCAGCTCCTTTGAGAACAAATGGCCTCCTAATAAGACATGCGTCAATCGCCTTGATGTTGGCAGTCGTCACTTTCATCCAGATCTTTGTTAAATCTACCTACATCAGAAATCAATCATCATGAGACTCCAAGCTTCCATTCTCCTATGCGCGCTAGCATCCTCCGCCAGCGCATATCTCGTCGAGCCCCCAACGCCTGCGGCAGCAGACACTGTCCCGAATTGCAGCGCATGGCAGATAGCTGAACCCGGGATGACATCTTGCAACAATATTGCCAGCGCACATGGCTTGCCCATCTACCAGGTCGGCCCATGGGTAAGTTTCAAGAAGAAGCGGCGTCAAAGACATTGCATCGACTGACCATTACTAGAACCCGTCGTGTAAGAACTCGGACGCCTTTGTTGTTGGAAACTCTTATTGCATCGAGGTCAACGGCAAGGAATGTTACGAAATCGGCGAGGGTGCCTGTCAAGGAGACAATTAGTGACGGGCGACTGCAAGCATTTCTACGTGATGCAGTCTGGAGACGGATACCAAGTCGCTAGGCATGCTGGAGATACTTCAAGCCAAACTTGACAACCCCATTGCAAGAAAAGCCAAAGAAAATCACATTCCCAGAATCCCTGGATTGCTCCCTTGTCCCAATCTAGCTGCTCATGTATCGAAGTCGCTCAACCGCTCAATTGCTCGCAGAAGGCACCTTCATATCCAGTCCGATGCCAAAGACCCAAACGCCGAGACGGAAAGGAAAAAAAAAGGGTCATGGGTATAATATAATCATAGAAACATAATCACGCCATTCATCCATCCATAATGTCCATTCCCCCTCTCTCTTTCCCATCCACACGCACATCACATAACCACACACCCAATCTTCTTCCTCCCTTTGCCCTTCTTTTCTTTCTCTCCAACCAACACACCATCATGATCCACCCTTGAGCCTCTTCGCCCACTGATCAAGTTGCCCACACTCTGGCTCGCCCTATGCATTCCATAAGGATGATTGTGCACCTGGTCTGTCCTTGGCGGCGCACTAACAGGGAACCTCTGCCCAGCGACAAATTGCTGGCCCGGGGGCGCAAGAGGCGGTAACGCGGGTGCGTTTCTCGGTTGCTGATTCGCAGCTATCGATGCCATCGGTGCAGTCTGATACGGCTGCATGCTCATCCTCGGACTAGTCGGTGGTAAGGGCCGGCGCTGGACAGCTGCATTAGGCGCTGAGCCGCGGCGCATGTTAGGCGGCAAGCTGGGGACAGGCGGTGGAGCGTAGAGGTCAAGATTGTCGTGTGCGACGCGTTGAGTGGTACTACCGTTCGTGGGACGGCGGGTAGGCATGTGGGAGGAGGTGTTGGGGTATGCGGATGCGGACATAGATGTACGTGGGGTGTGTGACAACGGGGTGTAGGACATTTGTTCTGGTGGCGAACGGGTGCTCGATCTTCGCCGCCGGATTGAGTCCGAGGATTGGGGGCTGGGGTACGTAGAGGGGTGGATTAGAGAGGGACGGCGAGTTGGCTCCGGGGGTGGTGGCGAGGATACATCTATAGAGGATATTGATTGCTGACGTTGCTGGTAGGGATGTGAGGGAGAGAGCTGGGAGGGGTCGATAGTCGCGGACATGTTGGTTGGTAATCGGGGGACGGGCGGTATCGAAGACGAAGTATGTGCGTGAGGTAGTCGCGGCACTGGAGGCGCATCCGGATGGCTCAAGCTAACACTTTCTGCTGCTGCGGCAGTGGTTGTGTACGCTGGTGGAGGCGGCACCCAGTTATCTGCATCACTCTCATGTGGTAGTTCTCGATGGCCGTCTGCACGACGGTATTCCAGGGGTCTGAAAGGTAAGGCGCGCAAATGCCGACGATTTGCGGGTGACACCGCTGCCACAGTCGCAGCTCTAGCCAAAGACATCTGAGATCGAGGTTGCTGGTTGTCGTAGGGAGCTTCGAACATTGCTTGTGCCTCTTCTGGTGTCAACTCCTCAGACTCATCAGAGGGTAATCGGGGCCGTGGCGCATTTGGGTTGGCGGTAGTACGTGATCGTTGTACAGGTGTGGTGCCAATCCTCGAAGGTCTTCGCGCAACAGTGTCGTTTCGATCCTGAGCTCTTCGCTGCGCCATGGTCCTGGTTCGCACCAGTTCAACCTCCCGATCAAAGTCTATAGAGCCTTCGGGAAGCATCTCGCCTGGACAAAGGGGATCCAGGTCGTACTCTGTCTTTAACGGCGTCGGTGGAGCGCTTCCCAAAGGTTTCGTCTTGTCGAAATCAAGGACTATCAAAACACCTTTCGAGCCCAACGGTGCCCCGGGTACATCGTTTTCGTCGGGTAAGACGTTGGAGTTGCCAACTGCCACAAGCCGCTGTACGTTTGCATTCAGCCTCACCCATCTCAGCACACAGATCTCCTGCAGAGTACCTGCGTTGTCATTGGGGATCGGGATGCAAAAGCAAGGCTGGATAGGAGCATCCACCTTAGTTTTCTCACTCGGCTTGTACTCCCAACCCGGTACTTCGTAAATCCAGATATTGGTGGTCCCTCGCATCCGCAAAGCCACCGCTGCAAGATCAGCATTGGGAGACACGGCAGGCATAGCATCGTCCACAAACTCTGAGCGTGTCCATCTTGCGTGATCTGGCAGAAACATCTTCCTCTGTGTGAAGCGTTGGCATGCAATGTCATAGATTCCCCATGAATCCTCCTCTGCGTTGAAAGCAAAGAGTTCGTTGAACGTGCCCGTGTCCGCGTCAGGAAGCAAAGTGGCTTGTCGTGCAATCCTCGCAGTCTCTGGGAACAGTACCGAGCCCGTCCACGCGGCCTCTGGTGGCTGTGGTATGGGCTCACCTTCCTCGGTAAGTGGGCCATCGTAAAGCCCAGGAAGAACGAAAAGAGCTGAACCATCCGACTTCCTTGCATAACCGGTGATAAGCAGCGTTCGGCCATCGTCGGAGAACTCCAATGCGTCACCGGCAGGTCCAGAAAGCGTACGTCGTGTCGTCTCGGGTACTTCGGGCCCAATAGCAATTACCTCGATGCCAAATTTGTTTCCCGTGATCAGGATACGTGCATCCGGTGATATGACTATTGAGCTAGCCTCATGCACGAGCATGATGGTGCGCCTCTTCTTGATCTGATGATCCCCCTCGCCATGTATTTCGTAAAGATCGACCTGCGAAGGTCTTGATAGTACTGCTAACAGAAAGCCATCCTCGGTGATGTCAATAGCCACGGGTTTGCGCTTGACTTGCAATGTCCTCGCCCACAGTCGCGGCAGTTGCACTGTCTTGATCAAGAACAAATTTGACGCCGAGTATACCGCCACATAGCCGCCTTTCCTTGACACGTTGACGTCGAAACTATCGGGAAGTGCAGACGAAGACGCGGTATTAGATACGAGTTCGAGGAGGGTGAGGCTGGGAGGCGCATATGGCGGTTCGGCGATTGGTGTGCTGTCATTCGATCGCTTGTCATAGGTGGTAGCAGATGTCATGGCCGTCGAGTAGCCTGACGAAGAGACGGTATCCGTGTTCGCAATCGACGACGCAGAGAGCAGCGTATTCACGTGCTCGTAGCCCTCAGAGTCCTCAGAACTCAGCGACGTGGTGCGCGCACGCTCGTCATAGGCCGCCCGTCTTGTGTGGGGACTGCCCTCATCGCCGGCGAAGGCGACGCCCTTTCCCCGTCCGTCTGTCGTCGGCGTCCTGGCAGAGAGTTGCGGTCCCGAGTCGTAGTCGTGTGCAGTCCTCCCCACCATCGTAAGCCTGGTCGTGCCTTCCTTGGATTCGTACGTGTCGTGCGTGGTGGTAGCCGGTGCGGAAGGAGCGTCAGGTGGGCATCGGACACAGCTCCATCAGAGTGCCTATCGTCGCATCTATCGTCTTCAGCTGTAGCAAAAGCAGGACGGCAGCATTGCAATTCCCAGTACAGCAGCAGCAAGCAACGCAAAGGTGTCTAGCAGGGCGCTATTGCTGCAGCCAGGCATAGTCGGCCGGGGTCACGTTCCTCGTTCCAGCTTGGTCTAAGCCCGATCTGCCGCTAACTCCTAGTCTGATGCCATACTCCGACGTCTATTTACAGAAACACACGGTGATCGCAACTCGAGCCCTTCCGTATCGATAAATTCTGCAAAATCTCTATCTACTGACCGCTACATCGGACGTGCAACACACGATAAGCCGCGAACCTCGGTACCGTCCGTCTGTAGTCTCGCGACACGCTGTCACCTTGTCAACCCCAGATAGCGCGATGCGACATGGTGGAGGCTGAGTTGTTTCTGGCGGCGGACCGCATTTGGGGCCGCCTAAAGCTGAGGCTAACACACGCCGGCGAATCGTGGAGAGCTGGTAGCCCTGGTCGCGCCCTTATACTTGCAGCTGCGAAACGCGGGTCTCGTGGTGGGGCAAACAACTGTCTCTACACCCCCTGCACAAGAGATCCTTCAACCCTCGCCATAGGCTCATCCGTCGCCAACAAGGCGCTCTGTAGTAGCACGGGATATTTTACCTGCAGCAATGTGGCTTTTGATGTTACCATCACGGACGCCGAGTAGGGTCCTTCAATCTCCGCTGCATGTGCGGTCCGCCTTGACATGTACAGGGCCTTGCGCTGTTTGTAGATTTGTCGCACGTGTGCCTGCAAACGGCTACTAATGATGATATAAGACTATACGCGATGTACGCTGCGCTAGACGGGCTGGCTTAGTAACCTCGTGGATCATCTTCTCGTCGTCAGCGGCAGATCATCGTTGCCGTACGCCACGACGACTAGAATAGCAAGGCTTGCATTTTAGGCTTGGAACAAGCCTTAGCTCTAACGCATTCCGGGGAGTCAAAGAAGCAAATCATGCACCTGTTGAATTGCGAGCTCATGCACATGCATGGCAACTTGGTTTTGATTGTAGTTTATCGTTCGACTGGGAGACCCCACTGTTTCTACCATGGTGAGATTATCAGAGGAAAAGGCTCTTCAACTCCATCCGGACATCGAAAATTTGCATGGAACAGTACATGCTGGAGCGTCTCCGGAGCTCGGTGGTCTTTTGGCGGACGCTGTCCTTTGGAAATGTGAGGGAAATACAGATGTGGTTTCAAGTTGCCATAATCCGCCAACTTGACTCCCCCCACATCACGAATACCGTCATGAAGTCGCTTCATCAATGAACGCTGGTGGTCGACAAGTGCAGGATCCAAAGCTTTGTATGTGTTCACGGCGCGGCGTGCGATGTGATGCTGTGCCAGATCTGGAGGCAAACTCCACCATTGAGCCCAGAAAATATGCAGCCCTTCAGCCAGCACAAACCACGAGAGCCACGTCGTTCCATCTCGGAACGAGCGCAACTGATCAAAGCTTTCGCCCTTGTCAAATATCCAAGGCTCGTACTCGTCTCCAACGTGAGCCTTTGACATGCTGAAAATGCAAGGAAGGAGCGTCGTCAGCAAGATGTAATCTCGTATCTGATGAGAACATAGTCCATGAACATAGTCCAGACGTCGCTGCTGGATAATATTCTCTTTCATCTTACAGGCGTCGAGCGAGTATCGCGGCGACCGCCGGTCTTGCTGTATCAATTCATCTTCCGTACAAGACGTACGCACATCCTGGGAGATAAGATACAACTCCCGTAGGATGTCCCAGCCGTTTGCGACTCGTTTACGCAGATAGTCGCCGCCCGGTGCTTCTGCTGGTATACGATAAACTGGACGCCCATTTGAATATGCGATTCGATGTTTGTTCACCAGGATTGCCGCCAGCTGGTGCGGTACGAGCTCTCGAAGCTGTTTATAGTGGAAGAAGTTCGATCGATCGTACATGTGCTGGAGGACTCGTTTACTGAACGTGACATGTGCTACCGCTGGCGCAATCGTGGGGATATAGCGATCAATCAAATCGCGCATCTGTGTACTGACCATGGTCAAAACATGCAGCTCGTCGAGACGACAATGGTGGGCTATTTCGATGAGGACATCCCATGGAAGGCGTGGTGATTGGCTGCATTCTGTAGCTTGGTTCGGCGAAGCTTCTTGGTCGATTGGAGATTGCATGGTGACATATCGTATCATGAAATAGCACAGTGTTCGTAGCTCGGTGGCTGGCAAGAGAAGTAGCGCTGGGTAATTTGCTATCAGGACGGAAGTTGGAACGGCAGTAACGGCCAAGCGCGCCTTGACAGGCAATCGCCGGCAGAATCACGGAGAAACGCGGACCGAGATGAGTACATTGATGCTTTCACATCGAAACCAACAGGCGAAGTCATGCTTGAGACGTTTTTCGACGCGTTCTGGCGCGGTTTGAGATTCAATGAGGTGTAGTTGCTAACAGTAGGTCGATGACAGGAACGGGAAACCCGCCTCGGCACCGTCTGCCGTCATCGATCATCAGGGTCCAAGCTAGCAAGACTCGGCTACACCAGAAACATTGCTAACACCCATCAACATCATCTCAATACTATCAGCCCTTTGCGGAGATGCTTAGAATGCATTCAGCCTGCGTTATGCATGTAATAAGCGTCCCGAATATCTATACGGCATCCGCCATCCCGCCTTTAGCCTAATGCAGTGCAGATGATCTACCGGAAGGGCGACGACATGGGGATACATTCATGCTTCGACAAGAGGAGGGCTCGAGGCATCGCTAGAAACATGCGAAAAGGATTTCATTCTGGGTGATGACTCTGTCGCTGGACCTACTAATTGAGACATCAATCATGATGCTGCAGTCCACCACGTCAGTTACTACCTCTATCTCAACCAACTTACAATGAGATCGACAAATCCAAGAAGCACCCCTGCACCGGAAGAATGAACGCGTTCAGCCTGCATAGTAAAGCAACATTTCCGGTCGCTTACAGCCAGATTCATACAACGTAACCATTGGTACAAGCATACGAGTTATCCATGTTTGAGGTATCATATTGAGCTCCTGAATCCTAGCTCTGGACCCAACATGCAACAACATGGCCCTGTAAAATACCACAAGCTACGACCGGCATCGGCGGGCTCATCACTCGAGCGTTATTGCCAACATGCGCCCCACATCCCCATGGGGAATGCTTGTCAAAGCTTGATATATTCTACCGTCTCGCTCAATCGATGGTCTAGCTAAAATGACACCAGAAAACCATCATTCACAACACGGTATGCGAGCGACGAAATCATGGCACCACCGCCACCAGATCTTCACTTGATTCCTGCGTTCCCTTCAGAAGCAGCTCAGAAGACTGGCAGAACATTCGCTGGAGCCACGCTAGCTCTGCATGGAATTGCTCTCGTTGTTTTTGCAGCACGCATGTGGTCGCGATGGCGGCCTGTGTATCGGATGCAGTTGGACGACTACGCTTGTGCTATGGCATACGTGAGTAGCGACTGCACTGTACCCTACTGACGATATTGAAGACTAACAAATTGGAAACAGGTATTGATAGTGATCAATACAAGTCTTTTGCTTGCGGCCATGCCTTATACCTTCACGCACCGACCGGACACATTTTTTCTATCCGACTCGCAAGAAGCATTCCACAAAGCGTCTATTGCGCAGCCGATCTGGGCATGGTCTATGGTCTTCGTCAAAGTGTCGTTTTCTCTGATGCTTCTCCGCATCTCGCCCTCGAAACCCCTTCGCCGTTTCCTCTGGGGTATGATCGTTCTCCAAGTCACACTCGGAGTGTACAACACGCTGGCAACTCTACTCCAATGCATTCCAGTCCGAAAAGCATGGGACCTACTTGGCACAGTACCGGGACGCTGCTGGAGCAGCAAAGCAGTCAGGACAAGCTCGATAACAGTATCCGTCATACACATCCTCACCGACTTCATGCTCGCCCTCCTCCCCATATCTTTCCTCCGCCGGATTCAGCGTCCCATCCGCGAACGCGTAATCGTAGGCGCACTTATGGGCCTCGGTTTCTTCGCGGGCATAGCTTCCATCCTAAAGATCGTCGCTGCCATGGATTTTGGTAAGACTGGAGACCAGCTGAACGAAAGCATCACTATCGGCATGTGGTCCGTCATCGAAGAGCTCGTAGGTTTTATTGTGATCTGTGTACCCTGTCTCCGCTCGCCGTTTCAACGCGCACTTCAATACTGCGGCGTGATTAGCGTACGTATCAGACAACATACGCTTACCCGCGGCTATGGGCGCACCTACGAGTCTGACGGATTGGACAAACGGTATGTTCGCAGTCAGAGTCAGAGTCGTCTTGCTACTATTGAGGGAGATGTCGAGTCGAGCTTCAAGATGAAGGACTTGGGTACTGAGGCATCGGAGGATGAGATGCAGTGGCGGAACAGTACCCAGGAGACGAGTTCTGGCAGGGGTGAGATTTGGTGCACAAAAGAGGTCGTCGTGCAACATGATCCTATCAGTCGTGTGCCCTCACACGAACATATGCAGGGTGGCGTGGAGGAAGCATGGAAGGGTGAGCCGTTTGACTTTGATCTGGGACTTGCCGGGAAGAGCCGGACTGGGTGACTACATCCAAACCTTTGTCAAGATAGCCCTCAATTTGCGCGCCCAGTAGATACCCTACCACAAAGAAAATCGCGACTTTTTTTTTTTTAACTGATTCGACCATGGAGCACTCGTAACTGAACATGGTGAGCACATTAAAAGGCGGTACCCCTGGTGAATGCTCTCAACCCTTATCTGCATCAACATATACAGCTTCAGGGTTTCGGAACTACCAAGCTGACGACATAACAACCAAGTTGAAGAAGGAAAGCGCCTTCATTCAGGGTTGAGTGCTGGTTCCCAGTGCAGCAGGCACCACTCACTGCTATTATCGCCATGTCTACCTCTTCGTACCCTTCCTTTCTCTCTCCTTGTGCACATCTATGCAGCATAAAATTGGAAGGCGTCTGGCGGTAAGTGCAATGATAACGTTGCCATACGTCATTATCAACATCGCTCTTACCATTGACGCCCTTTTTGGTAGAGCTCGACCACTCTCACATTCCTGCACCCGGTAATGTCGCAAGAGCGTACCAAAGATCCGAAACAGCACCCACTACCAAGCGCGATAATGGCGTCGCAACCGCCCCCATTCGCCGAACCTACCTCAACAATGATCTCACCAAAGGTTGCAAGCACATTCATATCCAATCCACCGAGTGGCCAGGTCTACTCACCCACCGTGGTTCCCTACAGCCAGTTTCAATTCCCCCACGATCCACCTCACTGGCCAAACTATCCACATCTTACATTCCCAAATCCATATTCAAACTTGAACACCCACCAAGCACCAAATCAATATCTACACTCACTCGTTATGGAGCACGATGGGCACTCGTACAAAAAAGGTGGACAAAAGATAGGTAAGTCAGCTATCAGGGATACCAAACGCTGTGAAAACCTTGGCTAACTCTTTTGCAGTAAGTCCTTCCCGCTACGCTTTAGCACCGTAAAGGGGAAAGTTAGCAACAAAGTCCTCCGTATCAGAATTCTTCTGTCTAATAGCAGGCAAAGTCTAGATGCATCGCGTTCAGTGTCTTCTTCTACAGTACGGTTAGTGCTAACGTCTTGATAGTACTTTAATCAGCAGGACAACCCAGCGTATGGCCACGATCCTAAGAACCCCATCGAACAGCGCCAGCCTTCGACTCCAGCGCAAGGCTACAATGCTATAAATCCGGTCGAACAGCGCCACGACTCTCTCACTAAGCCTGGCACTGCGAGCGCATCACCTGATGGCTCGGTTCCGCCGGGTTGGAAGGGTAGTCGCATTCCCTCAAATAACGTTCCGAGGAAGGCACCGCTTGCAGCTCGCTCTTCAGATCAGCTCTCTCCCACCACAGCCCGGAAGACTCCGAAAGGAAGACCAGAAAGGACAGTCAGTGAACCGATAGAGACTCCGGAGCACATAACACGAGCCCGGGTGCGCCAACAGCAATCTTTCGAAACGTTATCTGGAGTCTCTACGCGTGGAATTCTGCAACTCAATGATCAGAACCAGGCTGCTGCTCAACCTCCCATAGGGTTCTTCGCGCCTCCACAGGTATTACCTTCACCGGCGCCACCGAAGCCTGGAAGACTGCGTCCACGACACACCTACCAAGTACCCACAGAGTTGGCAGGCACGAAGACCGCACTAGGTAAGTAGACTCTGCCCTGAATCAATGTGTCCGAGCACACTCGATCATATTCGCTGACAGCCTCACCACTCAGGTCCGGATAACTGGGATGAATACGTATACCTCATGGAACGACTCCATTACAACGAAATCAGCGCCCACGAGTTCGACAGTCGCGCTAAATCCATCTTCGAGGTTTTCGGTGAGAAGACGCGAAAGAAGCTGAACAACATTCTGGTAATGAAGATGATACTGCCACGCCTTGAAGAGATTGAGTTGGAGGGCAGGAGACAAACCACTAAGAGTGTGGAGAACAACTAGGGTGATTAACGTTCCGGGACTGCCGATGACCCCGCACTTTGGGGTAGCTTCATGGGTATTACGTGGTGACGGTAATGCATGCACCAGGGTTCTAGACATATTCTGGACTATTCTAGAGGGAGAGCTATGCCTAATGCCCAAGGCTGACTATCATGACGATCATTGCTGTTAACATGTGCGTGCCATGCTAGAGAGTAAGCGTCGGCCCTATACGTTTTGCTTTTACGAAGTGAACATGTCATTAGAGAAGCGGACTGGAGTAGGCTAATGTCTTTAGTAGCATCCATCTACTTACAAGGGTCTAGTCAGCCGCAAGCCGGTCGCCTTGTCACGGCATTGCCTATTCTTTGCTGGCTTTAATCTTCCAAATGACCCTAGTCTACTAGCCAAAATTACCGCGATGATCACTCAATCGTTCTCTTCATCTCCTGAGTTCCGGACGTTGCTGTCGAGAGGAATATGTGCGCTGGTACGAAAGCGTTTAGCAGCTGGTTCCACTTCAGATCCCTGATCTCGGTCCATCGGGCGTTTGTGAGACACTTGCTGGAATGATAGCAACGCTGCATATGCCAGCTCGTTCGGCGAAAGATGCTTCTGACGAAAGGTAGCCAGATGGCCGCCCGTTACCATATAGTCATTTACCAGCGATGGCAAAGTAGCCACTTGCGCTGATAGTTGCTCTCGCTCAGTTGGAGAAGGATGTTTCAACCCATCCGGATACGGTACGATCTCTGTTTGTACCGCCCGATCGACTTGTGACATGCCAGACCACTCTTCTTCGAAAAAGGGTAGGCGGCGAAGTGAGGTGATTGGCAAAGCAACGTATTTGGCTACATCCCTACCTGACATGACGTTGTCGGCTACGACCTTCGAATGATAGAAGAGACGTGCAAGGTAATGAATACGCTGTGGGAACGTGAAATCCATGTCTTCCACGTTCAGGCTCTCAAACTCCGCCGATCGACGAAACGCTACACCAGTGACGCCAAAGTTGTGTATACGCATAGCGTTGTTGACAACAATATGGGCTATCGTCTCGATGTCTTTTGCGTCAGACCATATACCCGTGTCTGCGAACTTGACAGCGAAGGTTAAGACATCTTTGAGTTCGTCCCATAGGTTGTAGAGATTGACTAAACTGAGACAGATCCTGCGAACGTAGTAGCCTTTCTCTTCCTCGGTGGTAGGTACACCGTACATGCCCATTGAGGGCCGCCAGACTGCTTCGCCTAGGTAAGCCGTGACGGCAGCGCCGTTGGGTAAGCGGGGTTGATCGAACGATGATGATGTGTATGGCGGATGAGATGGTGGTGACCCATGCGGCCATGGTTGCATGAATGTTGATGGTAAGCGGCTAGGCTGCTGTGGATAGCCAAAGTGGACCTGAAGTGATGCGTTTTTGGCCTGGTTAGATTGGCTAGTCGAGAGAGCTTGCTTAGAGTCCTCCAGATTCCGAACATGTGGGGAAGAGACCATGGGGACAGGCGTGTCAGGACTGAACATCTGAAAGTCTGATGAAGTTGAGACTTCCGGGAATGGTATGTTGTTAGCCTGAAATGACCATTGAGCACTTTGATCAGCGGCGGAAGGGCGAGGCAAGCCATCGAGCTGCGACTCAAACGCCACCGATACATACTTGGCTTCCTGTTCATTCGTTAGTGGGCATCATATCGAGTTGCCGACTCTAACACTTACATTTGGCGCGTTTGATCCTAGCACATGCGGACTCGTTGTGGAGAAACTAGGGTGACCAGGTGCGGCAGAATGATAATTGACAAACGTTCGGATCTCGTTCGGGTTACCGATAGAGCTATGCTTGATATTGAAGTTGTGTGTGGACTACTATAAGTCAGTTGCCAGAATACTTAAGATGACCTAGTCCATAGCTTACCGCATCGGAAGATGGCGAGTCTCGACCGCCCTCGATGTACAAATTGCTGGCACTGAAGCCATTGCGGCCTTGCAATCTTGGAGTGTAGGATCGTGAATTAGGGCGAGACATGTCGCGTCGACTGTTGAGCGCGTTATCCATTGGTTTCTGGTCCTTCTGTTGGCCGCTTGTAGGTAGTCTGCTCATGAAGTAGAGTTTGTAGTCTTTGATTTCCGCGTTGTACAGGTGTTTGGGTGTTTCAAGCTTTACGCTAAGACTACGGTCTGGGTGCGTAGAGTGTGGAGAAAGAGTTGAGTGAAGTTCGACCTGGCACGAGGTCAAATGACTCTCAGTCTGCCCTTCACTGTCGACGAAACCCCTCCTTTCTCGCTGTCATAGTAATGCCGTTAAATTTTTCAAAATGCCAGAGTGATAAATTGAATGACGTTCTATGAAAGTACTGATAACATATATCTCCAAAGACTCAAATACCATAGTTCAGAACCATGGTTGCCTGCCATGAACTATGGTTATCGATACCTTACTCTGTGAAAGAGCCAATAAGTCGCAATCAATTCATCTAATTATGTCAATGGAAGGTACCGATGACATAGGTACCATACTAGTGATAGGTGGAAGGAATCACTGGATACTTTAGATGGCTCTTTCTCTGGCATGATCCTTGACGTCGACTGTTGAACATACGGTTTCCCTAGCTTGAGCGATCTTCAGTAAACAACCCACCGTTAGTCTCACTACACTCGCCATTTCAGAAGCCTGTCAAGTGTTGCTAGCACTGTCATTTGGGGCGCTTTTGCCCCAAGATCTACCCATTTAGGAGCCGTTGCACAATCGCTATTTCCTTATTACGATACATCGGTCTTCCATAGCTGCGATAATGACCTCCTCAGCATCTTCTACTCTTTCTGAAGACATCATCGACGCCAACAGTAATCATGTTGGCAGATACTATCCATTGCAAAGCCGAGGTGAAGGAAGATGAATTTTACAACATATTAAAGACAGCTTCACCTTGGTTTCTTCTTCTTTAATTCACCACCGAAGATGGTATGTTGGAACCCATCGTTATCATGATGCGCATTCCCCCAACAGTGATGTTGGTTGGCGTGCCTGAGGCGCATCAATGGGATCTCATCGGAACAATTGTTGCTGCAGGTTTGGTCTGGAAACTTCGCGTTGAACATTCACTAGTTTTTAAAGGTCGCAGTATCACAGCGAAGTTTTGCAGTTGGCACTCTAGCGCATACCTGAGTTTGTGTCTCATTGTGTCGAGTACAGCTTGCTGAATGAGTCTTGACTGAGGAGCCGTACACACACGACTTGCCTGGCATTACCCGCCATTGTCAGAATACATAATTGTGTCTTTGGACATATGGGAGATATTGCTTCCAGGCGGAAATTCGAGAAAATTGTATCTGGTGCGTTTTCGGCATGTCCGAGATCGATAGCGTGACACGGTGGCTAGCGGGAACGACCTAGATATCGGAAACAGTCCTCTCGGACTCTACAGGTCAGAGGTATATCGGAGAGCTAGGCGGTCGGGACAAAGTTCGACAATGCTACCGGCTGCGATTAGTATCGCGCAGATAATTAGTGTTCCATTCTAGGTATCCCGGAGGTTGTCGTAGTCTACGGCTCCATGCTGTGGGGTATCGCACGATGTCTAGCGCTGGCGCTGAAATCGTCCCGGGGGCCCACTCCAAATGAGCCTCATGTGTTCGAGACACCATGCACATATCGCGCTTGTGTTGTCCGCGGATGTTTGGCAGGCGCTGGACAGAGTAGCGATACAACAATATGTGCGATGCTATGCGCTAGCCAAAAGACTGCAAAACGAGTTCTCGATATGCGGCAGCGTGCCGTGTGTCGCGGCTCACAGTCGCTCACATCGCACGCGATCATTTTTCACCGGTATGTTGCCTGCAAAGGATCGAAATGCTTATCGGCCGCGCATTCCGTCTCCTATTGGTTTGCGCGTGCGCGTTTCGATACGGGTTGCGATGTTGCGTGACAAGCACGTGAGCTGTTTCTCTCCGCTGTCTATGACTCGCAGCCCACTGTATTCCTGGAGTTTGACCTGGAGAAAATTTTGGAGATGTCTCCACCAAAACGGGTTGCTGCGAATGAGACCTGAGCCCACAATTCTGACAGTTGGACCGGGCTCAGGTTCGTTCCAAGCTTTGACGAGGGCTTGGGTTGTTGGGACAAGTAAAGTCAAGGTGCCCAAGACGTCGCCGCGCGTACGCTATCGAGTTCGTTGGCCTCGTCAAGGCTTGCCGCGGACGTCCTTCGCTGACTGGATGGGAATGCGATCGAGTTCGCGATCCATTCGCAGAATGCTAAACATGTTGTAAGCCTCTCCTCATGAGTTGGAGTTGTAATTCTGAGCAAAGTCTGGATGGCCTGATATCCGTGAGGTTGAAACGACGGTAAAGGACCTTTGGCGGCATTATGATGGTGCCTTGCTCCCTGCCTCGGTGGTCGCGCCAGCATGTGCCGGGACTGCAGACGGCTGACCGGCAAGGCAACTCTAACGCCGATCGGAGCTGGGCAGCGTCAGCCTGGCAAGCCGCACACCAAGATTGCACCAAGCACATGCAGCATGTGAAGCTTTGTACTGATCACGGGTACATGACGAATATGGGTCGCTACCGTGACCAGGATTCCGCCTTGTGCAGCGTCCGACGCAAGATATCACCGGAAACGCTGTAAGAGTGAGCTTACGGCGCCCTTTGCAATCCAACTGCATAGCGACAAAGGACTTGAGCATGACGGTTGCTCGGAAGTCAGCCGAGCAATGTAACGTGGTGGCTTGAACTAGCCGCCAGATGGGCAATCAGGCGTGGTCAAGAATGCGGAGGGTGAGGTCATAGACGTCGGCATGCGCGAAGCTTTGGGGTGAAGGCCAAGTAGCAGGGCTTAAGCGTGGCTAAGATAGCCGCATGAATCTTGTGGAGGCTTACTCCATGGGGAGATGTGGTGGGGATCCTCATGAACGATAGACCTAGCGCCATAGTACCCCTCCCGCAACACTGCGTCTTGTTGGCGGACACAAACCAGGATCCCGGGGTCCTTCACCGTCGCGACGGTCGTGCCAGTAGAAATGTATTTGGATCAATTCAGGGTGCCTGTTGCAGCCTCTTACAGCTGTCGTGCGCCGTTGAGGCTCCACTTTTAGGCCTCCCCTTCACTGAGAGCTCCCCCAGGTATAAGATCGCCTGCTCATCTCCCCCGCCATTTCTTTTCCACCTCCACTGCTCTCCGCGCTTCTTCGCGACTGGTTTTACTCACCTTTGGAGCCTGCGCAAATCAACCTCCAACATGGACGGCAAAGACAACGGCGTGAGCCACATTCCCGACAAGGAAGTGGCCTACCCTGCCGAGAAAGAAGCTGTTTACGACCCAGCCACCGAGAAGCAGATCAACGAAAAGTACGAGCCTGCCGCCGAGCACATCGCTGATGCTGGCGCCCGTCGCGAATCCGTCGCGCACAACATCGTTGAGAACCCTCTGACGCGTCAGACCAAGGCCGAATGTGTCAGCTCCGCTGAGCGATGGGCTGTCACACATGGCATGGAGGAGCACTCTGCTCTCTTCGGAAAAGCTGCTCTCATTGCGCGTGACCCTGACCGCTTCGAGATGCTCACCGACCTCACTCAAGAGGAGCGCGATGCCCTCATCTACGAGCGCGACCACAAGTGGCACGGCCCCAAGATGTTGTGGTACTCGATTGGCCTGTGTGCTATTGGAGCCGCCACTCAGGGTTGGGACCAGACTGGATCCAACGGAGCCAATTTGTCCTTCCCCCAAGAATTTGGTCTCACTGAGGGTGACAGGAGTGAATGGATTGTTGGTCTCATCAACTCCATCATCTTCTTGACTGCTGGTCTCATCGGCGCTTTCATCGTCGACCCTCTCAACAAGTACCTTGGTCGCCGTGGAGAGATTTTTGTCACTGCTGTCTGCCTTACTGCTACTCCCATCGGTTCCGCGTGTGCGCAATCATGGGAAGGACTATTCGCTGCACGCTTCATCATGGGTATTGGAATTGGCGCAAAGAATGCTACTGTCCCAATTTATTCTGCTGAGATGGCTCCTCACCGTGTTCGAGGTGCCCTGGTCATGTTCTGGCAGTTGTGGGTCGTCATTGGTGAGTTTTCGCAATGCTTGAATTTGTTGACCTGTGACTAACCTATACTCCCAGGTATCTTCCTCGGTTTCTGCGCCAATGTCATCGTCAAAGACACTGGCAGAATTTCGTGGCGTCTGCAGCTTGGTTCAGCCTTCATTCCGTCTTTCATCCTTATGGTCGGCATCTTCTTTTGCCCAGAATCCCCTCGTTGGTTGATGAAGCATGGCAAGGTCGCCAAGGGCTTTCAATCCATGGATAAACTCCGTGCACACCCCATCATCGCCGCTCGCGACTACTACTACTCGTACGTTATTTACGAGACTGAGCTGGCTGTTGCACGTGGAGCTGGCTACTTCGACCGCATGTGGGACTGCTTCCGTGTGCCCAGAATCAGGCGTGCCAACTACGCTGCTTCCACTGTCATGATTGCCCAGCAGATGTGCGGAATCAACATTATCTCGTTCTACAGTTCGACCATCTTTACCCAAGCCGGTTACACCTCCGACCAGGCTTTGTACGCTTCGCTGGGTTACGGAGCTGTACAGGTGGTTTTCACGATTCCCACTCTGTTCCTCATTGACACCAAGGGTCGAAGGACCCTTTGCATGTGGGCAAGTTCTCCCCAACCTCTCTCAACACGCTTCTTGTACTAACTACATAGTAGACCTTCCCCGTCATGTGCATATTCCTGTTGGCCGCTGGTTTGACCCTGCTTCAGCCAGAAACTGCTAGCCAAGCTGCTCGCGTTGGGCCAGTTGTATTATTCATTTATCTCTTCACTATCGCGTACTCCTTGGGAGAAGGGCCAGTTGCGTTCCAGTACTCCGCCGAGGTTTTCCCTACCATTCAGCGTGAGCAGGGAATGGCCTGGGCCGTCTGTATCAACAACACCTTCGCTGGTGTCCTATCGCTCACCTTCCCTCGTATGGTTTCAGTCATGTCACAGACTGGTGCTTTTGGATTCTACGCTGGTCTCAACCTGATCGCCTGGGTAATGATCTTCTGTTTCGTCCGCGAAACCAAGCAGCTTACGCTGGAAGAACTGGACCAGGTATTCAGCGTGCCGACCAAGACGTTCCTTCATTACGAGATTACGGAGTCAGTCCCCTACTTTGTCAACCACACGATGCTTCGCCGGAACGTGCCCAAGCCACCCCCAATCATCGAGAAGGGTTACGGTGCTGGTGCGGTTCCTACTGTTTAAGCGGATTATGATACCAGGAGAGAGAGTGATGATTCCTATTTACGGAACCTAGAACTAAGTAGTGGGATTATCGAGTGCAAATAGTGCACGACGCTCGTTGAGTAATTAATTAATACCCCGTTTCGAGTTACCTACTTATCTTGGATGCTTTGATGTCTGATAGCTTCAATTTCACTAATGCTACAGCACTATAATCTGAAACCCCAAATAACACATCCATCTGATAGTGATACTTCCGGGTTTGGGTTCCAGTTATCCGTGGGTAAAATGGAGCAAGATGTACCATCCACCGATGCTCATCACCTAGTGACGTAGCTTTTCTCTCGCTTCGAAGCATTTCTAAGCGCCAAGTATGGGCGTTTCCCGCTTGTTTCAGAGGAATGCGGGGTCTCCACATTAGGGTAGCTACAGCATTGGCCACGTCCACCCGTCTCACAGCGGCTAGTGTTGAAAGAACGGCCTCACGTCTTCTCACTTCAAGCCACATCTTAACCACAACCACTACACTCTCCCAACTCGACAGCTGACTGGATACATGTATTATGTGTCTTCTGCACATCAACAGTATGCGATGCATAGCACCTCAGGTATGACAGGTACCGAAGCGAAGGGAAGGTACGATCTTCAGATGAGAGATGCAGAGCAGTGAAGGGATAAGTACTGACAGACCAGACCATGGGTCTTTTCTTTATTGCCAATTTCTCAGAAGAGTTTCTGCCACGCTGCACCTGTCATTATACCGGGAGGCTGCAACAACTCAACCCAGAGGGTCTGGCCTAGGCTCGAGCCCTGTTCGGAAATTAAGATGACAATGCCTTGTTACTCGTAACGACCAACAAAGAAACAAAGCCTTGGAAGCGATATCGGAGCATTCTTCACTGCGACCACCGCATCATCGCATGCCACGAGCACATACCAAGATGTCGGGAAGCACGGGAAGTGACATGTCAAGTACGGCACATCGTACACGGTATAACACACGAGAAACCATGATGACGGTACCCAAGAAGATAGAGTCATGATACACGGCTTCCCGTTGTGCGGAGCTACATAGCACCAGCCACGGATAGGCACCCTGCGTACATGGCATATCACTATGACTTCGCATCTCGAGGCTGGAGTGAAACATGAGTATTGATACCTCACGTTGAAAGTAACCCTGGAAGTGACTGGCAGGATAAGTGAGTCAATTGGGAGTATAAAAGTAGAACATGCGTTTGCTCCAGGCTCACTGTCTAACACAACACTGTGAACGTACTGCGAACTATTCAACGCTACATAACCCTATTTCCCTGGGAAGCTATCGAATCAGATCTCTAACGGCAGCTTATTCCACATATACCATGACTTGGACGCCACCATGGACACCCAGAGAGATGGAGGCTCTTGCAAAGCTCCAAGAGCGTAATGAAAATCGTCAGAAAGAACTCGACAAGATTCATGGAAAACTCAACAAGATATCTGGAACTGACTCAAGACCTTACAAGTGGAACTAGCACAATAAAGCACCAGAAGCTGCAAAGATCGTGAAGAATGCACAGAAGGATGCCGCCGATCATCAAGAGATGCTTGAGAAAGAGCTGGCGAGGCTCTATACTTGGCCAAGTTCCGACCTCACGGATGGAAAGATCTTCTTGCCGGGCAAGGGGGTCTTCGCTATGTTCAACCGGAAGGACACTTGGTTTGATGATATGGGCTTCTCTAAATTCCAGACTGACTACACCTTCTCTGAAAATTGGGATAAGGAAAGGATGCCGGTGACGATCCTTGTCCCAAACGATTTGCCAGTCGGACATAAAGCTCCAGTTATGTGGTTCTTCCATGGTGGTGGCTATGTAAGTGTCGCTATGAAGAAGGCACATACACATCTGCTGATAAAGTGATAGTGTACAGGAGCTGGCGACTTCCCCGCTTGGTACACTCGAACAGCCATCAGTAGGGCTAAAGCGAAAAAGGCTATCGTTATCGCGCCGGACTACCCCTTAGGGCCCGAAGGCAACTACAAAGACATCGTGGACTGTTTGAGGGACTTCCTTGTCTGGTACAAGGAGAATGGCTGCTTCGAGCCTGGCTCCACGAAGTGGACAGAATGGCTTTATAAGCAGAAGCCCGTGCAGAATTTTACCATCGATAAGAACCATGTATATGTCGAGGGCGAGAGCGCTGGTGGTCAAGCGGCCGTTACCGCATTGTGGTTGAACGCTACAAAGGGCGGACCGAATTTGCCCATTGACGTTGCGCTCCTTCGATACCCGATGATTGCGCATTACAAGCGCAAGTGGGACAAGATGGCCGACAAGGATGGCAAGATAAATTACATGGGAATTTGCTTCACGAAGAAGGACGTTTTGCAGCGCGAAGCCGACATTACGGACCTAACCAAGTGGCTAGAAAGCCACAGTCTCGTACCTACTTGCTCGTCGCGCTGGCCTTCGAAGGGCATGGCTTTCGCCTTCATTCTCTCCGTTACAGAGAGATGGCAATGGTACTTTCAACGCCAGCACGATTTCCCCAAAGCTAAAAGAGATGAAATAGGGTATATGGATGGTATTGAGCGGGCGAACAATACTCAAAGTCGTGTCTTGCATGAATGTCTTCCACCCATGTACATCTTTCATGGATGGAATGACCCGAATTGTCCTATTGAAGACACGGAAAAATTCGTGAGGGTATTGAGAACGAAGTACCCGGAACGATACAACAACGATAAGAATCTGCGATTCGACATTGTGAAGGAGCTGGCTGTGAGAAAGAGCGGAAACCTGGATGGCTCCATCAGGAAGGAGTATGATTCCGATAACGTTGGGCACGGGTTTGATTACTGGCTCAACGAGACGGAGGAGAAATTCTTGAGAGATGCCTATGATTGGGTTGGTGACCGTTGGAAGACTAGTTCTTAGTATTGATCTTGCCTTCGAGGCAGAGGGGACATTACAGGGATGGTAGATCAGAGTGCTAATACTCATTCAAGTGCTTCTATGAGTACCCTCATCTCCTACGTATATGAAACGCCATGTCTCTCAACGCCAATGATTAAACAGCCTCTGGAAAACTACCAAACCGCATCCAAAAAGGTTACCATAACCCTCCCATGAACTCCATGGATGATTCCGAGATGATAACCTAGACTCTAAGCCTGTAACCAGTTTAACCATACAAGGTCCCCTTCGTCCGCTCACTAGCCTGCGTCTCGTTATGCAAGTGCTGCGTAACATCCATTGTGACCGTGATGTGGTCCTGGCTCAACTTCTCCTCCTTCCTACCCGCCAACAACCTAGCAATCTTGAGAATATTCTTAATCTGGCGTCCATTCAAGTCCATCCTCGCCAACTCCGCGAGCTGCGCCTTATCAATAGTATGTTCCTGCGAACTCGAATCTAAAAAGTTCTTCCACACCGTCTTGCGCGAGTCGATGGTGAGACCGGGGTAGTCGAGCGAGATGTGGATGCGGGATTGGAATGCTGGATCGAAAGTTTGAACACGGTTGGTTGTGAGAAACATGGTACCTTCGTAGTATTCCAGTACGCGCAGGAAGATGGAAACGAGTTTGTTGCGCTCGAGTTCGTGCAAAGAACGTTGCTCGAGGAAGACGTCGGCTTCGTCGAGAAGGAGAACGGCATTCCAGCGGCTGCACATTTCGAGAATGTCTTGGAGCTTGCCCTCCAATTTGCGGTGGTCGAAACCGAGGTCGCCGGCGCTCATCATGTAGAGGGGAACCTTCATTTCTTCGGCTACGGACTCAGAGGTGAGGGTCTTGCCGACGCCTGGGGGACCGCAGAGCAAGATAATCATGCCTTTCCCTTTTCCTTCGATTACGTCGTCAAAGGTGTCACGGAATTTGCGTTGGGATTCTGTGAAGCCTAGGATCAACTCTTTCTGGTTCTTGGGGAGCACTAGGCGGTCGAAAGCGTCAGTTTGCCACTCGATGTCCTTGACGCAGTTGACGAAGAAGTTTAGCCAGAGCTTGTTCTTCAAGCTGTAACCACGGAGCAGAGGTGAGCAGATGAGCTTTTGCTCGGTAGTCAATGGCGGATGTTTGGCTGCGTCGTCTTCATCCGCAAACGCGCCATCGATTGGCATACCGCTATCATCTTCGTCTTCAAACTCATGGCACTCTTCCTCTTCGCCCTCATCGTACTGGCCTGGAGGTGGTGGCAGGGTGGGGTCCTTCTGGTTCAGTGGCGTGACGTGGATCGCTTGGGTAGGATTGAAGCGGTTCCAGCCGTATGTGTCGATGACAATACGACCTTTCACATTGTACTTGTCCTTGTTTCCGAATTGACCCTGCCTCCACGCGACACCCTGGTATGCCCGATAGTTTGGACCAGCGAGGGTTTCAGCCTTAGCACCACGTTCGATGAGCCGAGCGCGGATGGCTTCACCCTCTGGATGGAACTCGATAGGGTAAACACGCAAAGATGTGATGGCGCGTGTACCGGTAAAGACGGAAATGGTGAGATTGATCTTGTTGGAACCAAACTTGGCTCCATCCCAATCGACGTATTTGCATGTCAGCCAGAAGCATGGCACGCCATTACAGTCTACTCCATACTTCGTCTCGACAAGTGTCATGGCGGTTTCTTGTCCGTCCTGCCGAGCAAAGACTGTCGCACCGGGCTGAAACAAAGTCCACAAGTGCTCGTAAGTCATGACCTTCTTGCTCTTCATATCCTGAGAAGTGTCGATCATGGTCTTGAACTCTTTGGTAAGGATCTCTTGGAGTAGCTCAGCGTGTGCTTTGGTTGTACGCTTGTCTTCCGTGTCATCACCAAGCTTTGCGATAGCGTCCTGCAACTCAGCCCATCGATGAATGAGCGGCTCGAATTTGTCCTGGAACTCGAGACGATTGAGACCCACTGTGACACCTGGGTAGTTTTTGAGTACACCAGCAAGTAGCTTCTTGAGTAGAGGGCTCTGGACTACAACGGAGTGGATGGACAAAACTCGTCGGGGGTCTCCATAGACTTTGACGTTTCGCACAAGCAGCGCCCACTTGGCAGTCTCATCGTTCTCGGCGGGATCGCCAATGTCTTCTGGAATTTCCTCCTGCCACTGGAAGCGACCTTTATCGTCTTCCTTGCCGGAGTAGAGATGCTTGAGACCGTTTTTCATTCCCGGCTCGCAGGGCTCCTCGTCCTTCTTGTCGTTCTCTTTAGCATCCCTGCCATCAGCCACGCCATTCTCAGCCTGCTTTCGGCTTTTACCATTGACGAGTACATGTTTGACGCCATTAGTCTTGGCCTTTGACTTGCCGTTGGTGATGGGCTCGTCTTCTTCTGGTGAGGGCGAAACAGACGGCGATCGAGGCTTGCGATTGAGTCTTTCGCGCACTTCCTTCGCCATGATCTCACGCAAGAATTCCAGTTGTTGTATACTCATCTGTTCTTCGGCGGGTGAGTCGCACATGATCAAGTCGGTTTCTGACAAGCTCAATCGGATAGCCTGGATATATGTGGTGGAGTCTTGTCGACGTTTAGTCGGTACGAGTGCTGAATTTGAAGGTCAATAGACAAAGAGCCGGTCGGGTGAGAGTGTGGAGTAAGAAAAGCTGAAAGATGAGCTCTATAGATGTAGACTGAGGCTTCGGTGTGGCGATTCGTAGGAACAATCTCAGTCTTGATGATGAAGAAAAAACAATTGACGTCGATTCTCCAGCTGGAGGACTGACCGTGCAAGAGGAGGGTAAGAGAAGTGAGGCTTTGAGAGAAATAAGTACCTCGCAAGGCTAAAATTCGTGAGCCAAGAAGCCAGTCAGCCTTGCCTGTTGCCTGAAGAGGAGTGGAACGTCTGCCTGTTGTAGATCTGGTAGCGGTTATTCTGCTCAACGGCTGAAAATCACGCTCTTGATCTCTTGTGGGCGGCCTCTAGGTATGTATTCGTACTTGATGTGAGTAGTGGAGTGTGCGGTGCGCTGTCAATGTCGTCAGGTCACACAGGCGTCAGCTGTGGCGCTACTGAACTGCTGCATTGCATAGACGCCACAAGGGCGCAGAAACGAGTTGCATGGTATTACCTGAGATCTACTACCTTCATCACACTCAAAAAGTTTTCCCAATGTTTCGTCATTATTATAGTCAATAACAAGAGAAACGATTCGAATCTCACCTCCTGACGGTGATGCCTGGAAGTCTCCGCAGTGAGGAGAAGACAGGGCAAACTCGACTTGGTAATCTCAACATACAATTACGCATTCGTGGTACGAGTGGGTAGCCATGCACATAGACGAGATAAGATGAGATAGTACGGGAGTACTGACGGAGTGGTCGCGTTGTTGGACGCGGATCCGACTCATGAGGCTGATGAAGCATGGCTCGGTGTGGCGGTGCATTTTGCTACCCCGCGACCGGAGCCGGAGTTTGAGCCCCACGCTATCTTTTTCGTCACCCATGCGCTGACTAGACGTTTTTTTGCGCGTCGACATAAAGAAGGCATCACGTCAAGCCTCAGGCGCTCTTTAGCCCAAAATGACTACTCACATCAAAGTACCCTGCTCGTCAGCCAACATTGGCCCTGGCTTCGATGTCATCGGCCTGGCGCTGAACCTCTACCTTGAACTAGATGTCACAGTCACCAAGAAGGAGAAATCAGAACACTCGCTCAACTGCAAGATAACTTATGAAGGCGTAGGCGCGGACGACGTCCCTCTCGTTGCGCAAGACAACCTCATCACACGAACGGCCGTATACGTGCTCCGATGCCATGGCATTCGCGACTTCCCTTCCGAAACACACGTTCACGTCAAGAACCCGATACCACTCGGACGGGGACTGGGCTCCTCAGCCGCGGCTATTGTAGGAGGCGTATACCTGGCAAATGAGGTCGGCAACCTCAAGCTGTCACGAGCGCGCATGCTCGACTACTGCCTGATGGAAGAGCGCCACCCAGACAACGTCGCAGCGGCTTTGTACGGAGGATTTGTCGGCACATACCTCAACGAACTATCGCCCGAAGACACTGAGCGCCTTGAGATCCCCCTCAGTGAAGTTCTACCACAGCCCGCCGGTGGTGTAGACACGGGTCTGCGCCCACCCGAGCCTCCGCTCAACATTGGTCACTACACCAAGTTTGACTGGTCGCCTGCCATCAAGTGCATATGCATAATACCACAATTCGAAGTGTCCACGGCCAAGGCGCGCGCGGTATTGCCAGAGTCGTACTCACGCAAAGATGCCATCTTCAACATGCAGCGACTGGCTGTCTTGACCACTGCCCTCGGTCAAGCCACACCAGACCCCGACATGATCTACACAGCCATGCAAGACAAGCTCCACCAACCCTACCGTCGCGGCCTCATCCCCGGTCTTACCGAGATCCTCCAGTCCGTTACCCCACAATCACACCCTGGCCTTCTGGGCATTTGTCTCTCAGGAGCTGGCCCCACCATACTCGCCCTCGCGACCGAGAACTTCAACCAGATTGCAGAGCATCTGTTACAAGAGTTCAAGAAGGAGGGTATAACATGTGACTGGAAACTCCTTGAGCCAGCCCAGGAAGGCACCACTGTGACACGCCCTTCGAGCACCTCACAGCCAGCGGGCGAGGCCTTGACGTACGCATCGTCAGGTGTTAGCATCGACGCGGGCAACCAGCTCGTCAAGCAGATCAAGGCATTGACTGCCAGCACAAAACGGCCGGGAGCCGATGGCAAAATCGGTGGATTTGGCGGCTTGCTCGACCTGCAAGCAGCCGGATACACTGAGGCACCGATACTTGTGGGCGCCATTGACGGTATTGGTACCAAGGTCAAGATTGCCTTCGAAATGGGCAAGCACGACACTGTTGGTATCGACCTTGTCGCCATGAACGTCAACGACCTCGTTGTACAGGGCGCCGAGCCCCTGATGTTCCTCGACTACTATGCTTGCAGCAAGCTAGATGTGGAAGGTGCTGCCAAGTTTGT